GTTTGCATTAGGGTAATCTAAATTTTTGGTGTTCTAATTTTTTTCTTTAGAAATCCATAACTAATTGTAGAAAATTCCAAATTAGGCAAACTCACTTGCATTAGACTCCAATTAGGGTCTAGTATTTATTAAAAAATTTAGGTTCCAGAAGCTGGCCTAGATTAGAAAGTCAACTTTTTGGTCAACTGTAGTTCATTTAGGGCCCGAAACTTAAAATATTCATAACTTTGCCTGTAAAACTCCAATTTTAGCCTACTACCTGTCTAACTACTCGTATTAAGTTCTAGTATTTTCCTAAGGAGATAGGAGATCCAGAATTAGCTTTTTTTCCATAATGACTTTTTTGACCCTCAGTCTAGTTCCTAGGAGGACCCAGGACTTTCCAAAATTGGCTAATATTACTTGAACTTTAAATGTCAGTATCCTAAGCTCTTAAAACTGATCAACAAACTTAAATAATTAAAATACACCCCAATTCACTAATATTTGAATTTCAACAAAAAATTCCTTTTCTGACCTACAACAGACCTGAACTTTATACAATTTTAATTAATTATCCCACTTTGGATCTATCCAAACCACACTAGCCTTACACACACATAGAATTGTTTGCTAGGGCACCACTTCTAGATCTAGGTTAGGCTGCTGGGTTTTACTTTTCTGCAGTGTGCCGGAGCTTTCGTGGATTTTATTGCATGTTGTTTGAAAAATGATTGGTGTGTTTGCTTACATTTATTGCACTCTATGATGTGATGAACGTTAGATCTACCCCTAGGTTATGAACGTCATATATATATACTGTTCTTCTGTGCAGGTGGTCATGCTCAAATTAATAAAAAGGGGAGCAATATCATGATTTTTAATAATGTTTTATGCAGGTGCTTGTTCAGCTCCCCCTAAATAAAATGAGGGCTAAATTAATTATAATTGCACAGGTGGAGCTGCTTAGCCCTCAAAATTAAGAGCATGGCTTAGCACAGGGTCAATGGTGTTAGCATTTTTATTTTTATATAAACTGCTTGAGATTTTTATTAGGATAATCATGTAGGGAGTCTAGAATTTTCTTTTATAAATGGATATAAAAATTTGTAATAAGTTAAAAGTTGTAAAAATGCAACTTTGAGTGTGGATATTCTTATCCCACTTGAATCCCAAAATGGGAAGGCATCCTTATAGGGGATAGTCTTCTTCCAATTGGGAAATCGAGTGGGATGACTTTAGATATCCAAAGAGAAAATGCAATAATCCCAAATGGGAGAATTGTCTCTTCGTTTGTATATTCAAGCCACGACGAATCCAAGGAGTCCAAGGAGGAGAATTCCAAGGAGCCCAAGGAGAAGAAGACACCCAGAAGATTGAAGACCAATATCCCACTCAAAGTCATTTGCGTTTGTCATACGCTTAGAAATCCGAGTTGTTGGCAGTGGCGCCAGGCCACTTTACTTTCTACAAATTCTGGTTGTAATAAGGGCAGTTTGCCTGTAGACATTTAGTTGATTATTTTTGTGGATTTATATTGATGTGCTTACCTGATTGCGCTTAGAAATATCAGCTTTTTCTAGATTTCTTTCTTGCATGCCGATTTTGTTTTAGCATGGATTGCGTTAGGCTCTTTTAAGGATTATAAAATTTTTTTACTCATAACTAATTTCTAAAATTTTAAGGTTTAAATAACATAAAAACCTAACGAATCTAGGGAACTGCCGGAATCATCCGGGGTCGCATGCATATTACTGCATTTCTCTTTCCTTGCTATAAGACATCTCCCTGCCTACGGGTAGAGTTCGGATAATCTGGCCTATGAGGATGAAGTGCCGGACCTAGGGAGACCCAGTCTTTTCTAAAAATTTTTTTATATTAAGCCTGTTTTTAAAAAATCCAAAGTATTCATGAGCTGACATTTTAACTAGCATGCATTGCATTAGTAACTAATTAATTAAAATTTAATTGTATTAGTTAGGAGCATTCACCCTATATAAGTCCAGAACTAATTAGAAAATTCTCTAGATGTCAGTCCTATTTCTAAAACAATATACCTCCCACCCATATTTTATAAATGACTTGATACCATGGTTTTAAAGCGATTAGGTGGTTAGCTGGCTCCCCCATCCAGGCCGGGGTAAGTCTAGGTTTTACATTGCATTAGCTAGAACACGGGTCTTAGTGTTTCGTAGAGCACTAAGCCCAATCTAGATTTAGGGTTCGAGGCTACTACATTTAGTCTCGTAGTATGCCTTAAATAGTAGGTAGATCCATTCTTTCAGGGACTATAAATCCTACTTATCTGCGTCACAGGATGACGCCACCTCCATCTTTTCTCTCACGCATGTGATTGAGTGCTTGATTTTCTTTTTCCAGTTTCTCTTTAGTACCATAGAGCCTTCGAATGCTGGTATGAACCATGCATGTTGATTCAGCCCTTCGGACCTTTCTTTCCTTTGAGTAGGACTTCTTAGTCTATACCATTGTGCCAATCCCACTTTAGGAGAGCATAATGTATGATCCTTAATCGAGAGTTTTCTCGGGCTTCGACCTTGGATGTAATTAACCACGGGGGCTTGCGCCCGGGGGAAACTTGGCCCCACATCTACTAAACCCCATTCGAGCCTTTGTATCAGATGGGGGAAACCCGTGACTAGGTCGTGTATATTACTACCCATCGGGGTGTGTTGGCGATAGCCCCTATCCTCAATGGTTAGTCGTATGCACGATCCAATCTACCCTTCCAATCGACCCGTTCGCGTGGTGTTCTTTTCGGAGGTCCACAGGTTTCTGGCGACCACGTTGGGACCAGTTTCTCTCTTCATCTTTGGATTCTATATTATCTTTTCTTGTGTGTACTCCAGGATTGGTACTCCTTAGATTAGGTCCGTCCCACTCTTAGTT